ACATCAAGACTTGAGACTAAAGCTCTAGCAATGAAACAGCAGTGGACCTGTTCAGAGCTGAGAAATTAGACAAACCACACAAACCAGAGAAGCCAAAAAAAAACCAAACATATTCAGAATCAGTGTCTTCCTCAAAGTGGCCGGCATTGCGGGGCACTGGGAAGATGTGATAAGTGTTCAATTAATTGAGAGGAAAAAATCGATTATTAGTTCAGCCTTGATGGAAAAACCAGTAAAGAGCAGACACGGTGGTTCAAACCTTTAATTCCAGCACTCAGGAGGTGAAGACAGATGGGTCTCTGTGAGTTCTGGGATAGCCTGGTCTACATAGAGAGTTCCAGGCCTTCCAGAGTTACAGAGCAAGGCCTTGTCTGAAAAATATCAGTTAAAAATTGGTTAGGCCGGGTGGTGGTGGTGGTGGTGGTGGTGGCGGCGGCGGCGGCGGCGGCGGCGGCGCACCCCTGTAATCCCAGCACTCAGGAGGCAGAGGCAGGCGGATCTCTGTGAGTTCGAGGCCGGCCTGGGCAACCAAGTGAGTTCCAGGAAAAGCGCAAAGCTACACAGAGAAACCCTGTCTCAAAAAAAACAAAAAAAAAAAAAAATTGGTCAAGGACATACTTACTCATAAAAGGAAAAAATTTTAAATCCTTCACAAGGACTAGGAGGATGGCTCAGTGGTTGAAGATGCTGTGTGAGCCTGGGGCCCAAATCCAGTTCTCAGAATCATGTGGAAGTTGAAGGAGAGACCTGATTCCACAAAGATGTTCACGGACTGCCAAATGTGTGCTGTGACATGCACATGTGTGCACACACAACACAAAAATAATAAATACCAATAAATAAAAATGTAAGATATAAAATAAAAATGTTTACAAGAAACATAAAAAAAATTAATTTTCAGGATATCACCTCCATTTCTCTCTGTTGTTGTTACTATCCCCCCCCCTTACTCCTCCTCCTTTTTTTCATCCTCTCTGAGGCTTTGGTTTGTTTATTTAAAAATTCCCTTATTTGTTTTTATGTGCATGGATGTCTGTGCATCTGTGCATGTCTTTGCACCATGACAGTGCTCACAGAGGCCAGGAAAGGGCATTGGATCCTCTGGAGTTGTAGACAGTTGTGAGCTGCCATATGGGGGCTGGGTATCAAACCTGGGTCCTCTGGACGTGCAGCCAGTGCTCCTAACTGCTGAGCCATCCCTCCAGGCCCTGCTTGCTCTTGGAGACAGAGTCTTATGGAGCTCAAGCTGAACTGGAACTGACAATGTAGCTGAGGATGACTGAACTCCAGAACTCAGGCCTCTACCTCCCAAGTGCTGGCATTACAGACACGTGCTTGGCTTGGTATTAATAATTTCTTAAATGAGAGGCAAAATGTATAATCAGTAGACTAATTTGGTTCATTATAATTAAAAGCCATTTATCAAAAGATATAAAAAAAAAAATGTGGCTGGGGCGGTAGGTCAGTCAATGAAATGTTTGCTGTGTGAACATAAGGACTTGAATTGGATCTGCGGAACCCACACAGAAAGCAGGCCTTCAGGACACATGCTTATGACCAAGTCATCCATCTGTGTTCTGTTTCATCACAAACACAGGATGGGGGAGGGTGGGAAGAGGAGGAGGAGGGAAGGAGGCAGAAGAAAAGGAAAAGGATGCTCTAAAGAGTTTAACCGCAGAGGAAAACGATATAATAGTGTGCTAACACAGCCAGCCAGAGCAACACAAACAAGATGCACGTCACAGTGTCAACACATCAGTGTGCATGGACCTCCAAGACACAACGATGTCAAATGATAAAACCAAAGACTTAGAAATGAGGCCTGCCAACTGGGCATGGTAGCACATGCCTGTAATCCCAGAACTAAGAAGGCTGAGGCAGGAGGATGAGGAGCTGGAAACTAGCCTGGGCTACACAGTGAGACCCTGCTAATGAAAGAAAGGGAAGAAGGAAGGAAAGAAAGAAGGAGAAAGGGAGAGAGATATACAGACAGACACACAGACAGATAAATAGTTAGACAGAGGAAGAGGGCTCGGATGCATCTCTGTGACAAAGTGCTTGTTCTGCATGTCAGGCTTTGGATTTACTCCTGAACACTGAGGGAAAGAGTGGACACTGGTACAGGCAGCTGGTGCGGGTGGGTGAATCTCTGTGAGTTGAGGGCCAGCTTGGTCTACATAGCGAGTTCTAGACCAGGGCTCCATAATGAGACCCTGTCTCTAGAAAAGAAAGTATAACTCTGTCTATATAAAAACTCCAAACAGAGACACTAAACAATACACCCTGTGCAAACCCATGTTCATGTATGTGACAAGACCTTAAGGCCAGCAGAAAAGAAATACCAGGTTGAGGTTGTCACCGAGGAGGGTAGAAAGCAGGAATGTGACGTCAGAGAGGAGGATCGTCAGTATGGACCACATTCTATTACTGTATCTGGAGGAGGACACAGTGCCAAGTATCTTTCCTTGTGAGGTGTATCTATTTATTGGACATGTTGTCAAACTGCCTTCTAAATATCTATATCCATAAACTCTGATTAGTGCTGTCCTCAGCCTGGGTAGGAGAAGCTTCCCTCTGCTGTGGTCTCAGTGCTGAGAAAATGTGACAATTGAGTGATCAGCCATAAACAGGACATCTATATCAAACCCTACCCTTCGTCACCCCAAGGCACCTCTACGCTACCAGAAGGTGCCTTCATCATACCCCACGCAACCCCATTCTATCCCAAGGCTCAGGAACATTATGGAAGGAAGAAGGAGAGGAAAGCATTCAACAGCCAGAGGTGAGGAGGTGAGTGCTGTGAGATGCTGGGATCTGGCTGAGGCATGGTCACTGCACTCATGACACTGTGGCTGTGGTCACCTGTCCAAGACCAAGACAATAAGATCGGTTAGCATTCTGGCAGGCGACATTATGGACTCAGTGGGTTTGGAAAAGAAAGAAGAATGGAAGGAGGGAATAGACCATGAAGCGGAGGAGGGAACACATGAAGGAGTGGGAGAGTGGGGTTGGAGGTGGATATGATAGAGAGATGTTGTATATGTGTGAATTTATCAAAGCATAAGTAAAGATATTCTATTAAAATATGTATGTATATGTATTAATTGGGCACATTCTTTTATGCATTTGACACAGCAAAAAGAGTCTTCTAAAAATCTGAGAGTATTCTCAGAATCACAGATTTATTTGTTGTCCTCTGCCACCAGAAGAGCTGTGTCCAGGGACATGAACAGAGCTTTGATGTCAACAGACCTCACTGATTCTCATAATCAGGACAATGATGCTTCTCCCCAGAGCAACTCTGAGGCCTGTTCACCCAGAGGACCGCACTGAGCATGCTCAGGAGCAGGGGCACCTCCAGAAAGACCAGGACCTTGAAGTAGATGCTGCTCAGCACTGGCCTGTGGGGACAAGGTCACAATAAGCTCTATATCCAGAAGGTAATGATGGTGTCCTACACTGTGGGCCGGTCTCTTTACCCAGGTGTGTGTCCAAGGTGTTCTTTTCAGGGACAAGGACAAGGAACCCTGCCTGATTGAATAGTGTGATTGATAACCTAAGAATTAGCCTGGAACTGTGAATCTGGCTCAGTCTCTCCATTGACCTCCACTCCTAAGGCCTCTATCCAGGCAGGCACTGCCTCCTCTACCCAGGCTCCAACTCTCTTCTAAACTGAGTTCTCCTATTTCCTCCTGGTGGCTCTTATTTGTTAGTGATTTATTTGTTTGTTTGTTTGGTAGTTGGTTTTTTTGGGGGGTGGGCAGGGTCTCTCTTTTATGTAGCCCAGGCTGTCCTGGAACTCATTTCTAGACCAGGATAGCCTTCAACTCACAGAGATCCACCTGCATTATTCTCCTAAGCACTGGTGTTAAAGGCTTGTGCCCACACAATGGAGTGACTATTTATTTTCTTTAGTTAATTAATTAATTTACTGGGCTTTTTTTTTGTGTGTGTGTGCATGTGAGTGTATCCAGGTGCACATATGTGTGCATGAATGTGCAGCCGAGAGGATAATCTTGGATGTCATTCCTCAAGAATCATCACCTTGTTATATTTGTTTTGAGACAGGTCCCACTTTGCAGGTCTGGCTAGAATGGAATTTGCTGTGTATTGGAGGCTGGTCTTAAACTCACAGATACTGGCTGCCTTTGCCTCCCAGTGCTGGATTAAAGGCATGAGTCACCACACCTGGTCCATTTATCCTCTTATCTGACAGGATCTCACATTGGCCTGGAGCTTGCCAAGTAGTCTAGGCTGGCTGCCCAGTGAGTCTCAGGGATCCCCCTGTCTCCATCTTTATAGCTCAGGTATTTCAATTGTATGCCACCCTGCCTGACATGTGGGTGCTGAGGCTCGAACTCAGATCCTTCACCAGCAGAGCCATGTCCCCAGACTCTGGTTGTGTTTGTGTAGTAACCTCTTGACAGGAAACTAACTCCATCTCAGCAGGTCTGGGTCTGGGTGTCACTGTTGTGTCCCAATCTGTAGATGAGCAACTGTTGCTCATAAGACACTCCCCCAGGTCAGTGTGGGACTGGAAGATGCAGGAGATGCCCAAGGAGGGAGATCCAAACCCTTCTAACTCCACCCTCTCAGATTTACCCCCACCCACATTCCAGAGCCCTCAGGGTCCTCACCGGGGTTGTAGGCTGGGACCAGGAGTTGTGTCCTCTGTGGTCACGCTGGGCTGAGTATGCACTGGTGAGGATGTGGGGGACCCCAGGGTATTTGCTCTGTTCTCGGGGCTAGAGCCTGTGACAGGAGCAAAGGATGGAAACACAGACTGTCCCAGTGACCTCCACTCCATGTCCTCCCCACTGAAACCTCTACAGCTCTGCTCTACACGGATCCCTAGGGACACGGAGGAACGCTGTGTGACAGCCTACAAGCCCCATGGCCCCACCAAGTCCTGGTCAGGGCTTCCCTCCCCAGCCCTTCCCATGGTGCACTGGGGCTGGTTGGCACTTTCAAACTTGAGGCCAGTCTTCCTGTAGAGGAGAGTTTAAGTGGCAGTGACAAGACACTTGGTGCCAGGTCCCTTCTGGCCTCAGTGACACCTTTTGCCTCCTTGTCTTCCATCCTTCCGGGGACAGACACAGAGTGGTGGGACTCTGTCTGCCTGGCCCCTCATTTCCATACTGTCATCCAGACAGGCCACTGGACAGTCTTTTCTAAGGAACGGACAGATGGAAAGTTCTAGAAAGACAGATGCTTGAAGGACCCTGCGGAGAGTGGCCTCTGCTGAGGGGAACTAGAGACACCAGTGGGATTTGGTTCCACACTCCTCACTATGACCCACAGAGGATTTTGGAGGGCTCAAGAACCCCCATATACAATCTACCCTCCTTCTTGTGTCCCTGGTTCCTCTCAGAAGCCACAGAACCACTGTGATGAGGCTGGCACCTCATGACCTCCATGGAAGGGAAGTGTCCACTCGGTCTCAGGCCAAAGCAGCATTTGAGAGAGGGGAGCAGATAGGCTGGGTACTGTTTCCATACGGAGATGGATCAGGACCAAATTATCTTTTGGAGAGGACTTGTCTCCTATCAGGACAGGAATTCACAAAGTGCCAGTGGTTCAGGGCTTGTCTCTAGAAAGGTTCAGGCCTGACACTGTCACATGAACACACAGAGAATCTCTAACAGGTGCTGATGAGACAGTTCCGTGGTGTAGGCTCTGCTTGCCAAGCCTGATGACCTGAGTTCGAGCCCCAGGACCACATGTGTACAGAGAACTAAGTGCCAGAAGTTCTCCTCTGAGGGACACACATCACGGCAAGTCCCCAAAGGAAGTCTTAAGTAAGTAAGTAAGTAAGTCGCAAGTAAATAAGTAAGTAAGTACATGTCATAAAAAGAGAGTTTCTAAAAACTCATGTTCCCCATTGTGCCTGTGTGTACACGCACACACAGATACTGGTGTACATTCGTTATCACATATACCACACATGCTCTCACAAGGCACATGTGGACTCACACCCCCTGTGGCCTGAGTCACTGATTCACCAAGCTCACCATACTACTGTATCTGGCTTCCTTCCTTCGTGAGGGAATGACTTACCTGGACTCAGGATGCTCTGAAATGAAGGGAGCTTACCTGGAACCACGGACACCACAACCTTGAGGGAATCATCATCAATCCCCAAGAACGGATAGATCCCTAAGGAGTCATCAATATGTGGCATGTCCACCCCACACTTGTAGGTGCCTGCATCCTCCAGGGTGAGTTTCTCCAAGGTCACTGTGAAGGTGAGGTTGGCTGGATGGTCCCTGATGGACACTCGGCCTTTCCCAGCTTCTTTTGAGGCTCTGGTCCTGACAATCTCTTTACATGGTAGCAGTGACACTCTGCACCAGTATTTCTCATTATTCTTGTGTTCCTCCTCGTACTGACACTGCACACTCAGGGACTCCCCCACAGTGCCTATCACCTTGCTGGGGCCATGCAGAGGGACACAGCCTGGAAAACACAAGCCCCAATTCTGCACCCTGGCAGGTGGATGGGGGTCAGGCCCCCCTTCGTCAGCTCTTAGAGAGCTGCCTGGTCTGGAGGAAGCATCGAGAAAGGAGACAGGCCTTGTTAGACCCAGGAGTCAGGACTGAGGTGAGCACCTGTGTTGTCCTGAAGAGGGGGTGGAGAGGGGGCTTGTCCCTGGAGAAAGGAAGGGCCCAGGAGGAAACAACACGTGTGTGTGTGTGTGTGTGTGTGTGTGTGTGTGTGTGTGTG